CTGCGCTGCATGGATTGGTGTAGTGCACATACCTGTCATCCCAGGGGCCATCCTTGGCACAAAGCAAGTGGGAAGCCAGTCTTCATGAGACCCTGTCTCAAACCAAAACAAACACCCCAAAGTTATCAGTGCTTTAAGTCCATTCTCGCAGACTGCTTTGTAGGTCATAAAGTTACCGTTAAGTGTTTGAAGTAACACTTGACTGATAGCTCTGAGGAGGAAAATCCTTTTTAGATTTTAAAAATTATGTAAGTAGATTTATTATGGGAAGGAAGTGCAGAAGACTGATACAGGAGGATTGTTGGTTCCAGTCTAGCCTGAGCTATGTAACAAGACCGTGTCTAAAAACAAACAACAAAACAAAAACATCAAAAGAAGAAAGGAAAGAAATAGACAAGCAACAAGCCAAATTTCATGTTATTCAGAAATGAGCAGTTAAATTTTCACCTTTGTAGTTTTGGCTCTATACATTGTAGCTTTCAAAGTTTGTTTTACTACAATGCTTTGTGTTTTTTTTTTCTTATTTATTTATTTGCACATGTGTGTGCATGCACGTGCTACCGTATGTGAGGGGAGGTCAGGGGACAGCTTCCAGGGGTCAGGTCCACCCCTCCACCCTCAGGTCTTGGACCATCAGCCTTGGCAGCAGCCTTTTGGGCTGAGCCGTCTCAGTGGCCCTCCACCTTGGCCTTTGGAGACACAGTCTCTTGCTGGGACCTGGAACTCATTGAGCTCTGGGGATCCACCTGTCCCTGCTTCTCCTGTGTGCTCCCATCCCCGGCCTTTCTCGTGGGTGCTGGGGATCAAATGTGGGTTGTCGTGCTTCCCCAGCAAGTACTTCCCTGACCAGACTGCGCCCTCAGTATTGGTTTTGGTTTTTCTGTTAGTAACACTTTACTCGCGAAGCCGTCTGAGTAAGTGACTCTGCTTTGCTCATAGTTGAGATGCATCCGTGCAATGGTGTTTTTAAGACTTTTGCTACTCTGTGCTCCATTAATTACCAACTTCTAATTCTTGGTATGCCTCCCAGTTTCTTGCAGCTGCCACTGGGTGCCACAGGCAGGAATACAGGCTTATCTGACCCATAAGAATAAGCCCAAGATTCAGTGGCTGTATCTGATGAGGTTTTTCTTGCCAGTGGAGATGCTGTAGAGTACCGAGGCTCTGCAGAACTCATATGGCAGAGCTGACCATTCTAGCTCAGGTCTTGCCTTGTTTGATGAAGCCATAGTTCTACTGGGTTAGGGCCCTACCTGGTCCCTTTATTTATCTATATTCACCAACCCCAAAGATTCCATCCTCAAATACCATGAGTTTTGTTAGAAGCCTTCAAACTGTATCATGGTACAAGGAAAGAAGAGCATTTGTGACCTTTTAAAGATGGTTAAACCTCATTTTGTTAGGATGTACCTCAGATAGCAGTGATATGGAAGTAAGAAAAGGAGACTATGGGTTGGTGGCATCTTTCTGTGGAAGAACATGAACTTAGCAGGCACAAGACACTGGGTCCAAATGCTAGAAAGACACTGAAAGAGCCCATCAGTCTAATCTTTAGTTTCTATGTGGTGCAATGAATAGCTAACAGAAAAATGGTCTCCCTGGGTAGCATGGCTACTTATTAGTCAAGCTAATGAGAATGCTAGTTACAAGCCATCCATATTCTTTATCATCCAGATAGCTATGTGTGTGGTAAGTTTAACTTCTGCCTATTTCTTTGTTCTTTTTCTCCCTGCCTTTGGTTCTCAGGTTGAACTTCCTATTTTAGAGGCCTTTTTTGTTACCCCAGTAAACTTAATACAGCTAAACCAGAAAAATACTCAAACACATTTTCTCTATTTTAAAGTTAAATGTGTTTGTTTATTATTGTTTGTATACATGAGTGTGGACGATGCGTGTGTGTGTGTCTGTGTGTGTGTGTCTGTGTGTGTGTGTGTGGTGTGTGCATGTGAGTCTGCACATGTGTGGAAGCCAGAGGAAAACATCCAGGGTCAATGCTGTCTTCTACTGGGATCAAATCCAGATCTTCAGTCTCATGCCAGCAAGTCACAAACACCTTTGCCCACCGAGCCGTCTCCCTGGCATCTGCGGCATCTTCCCAATGCTTTAGACTAGCAACAGAGCAACGTGAGCGCTAGTGAGAAACAGGACCTAAGTCGCACGTGATTCGGTTCCTGAGTTGTGTTGAATGGTTATGACAGGTCTTCTCTCAGCCTTTCTCACATACTGAACAGACCACTACCACATGACAGGGCTGAACACCAGCCTGCACGGGAAGGTTTCAGCAGTTCATCTGAAGTCCATAAACTAAGGAGCCTGAGCTATTGCTCTCTGAAGTCCTGATGTCATTTGGATCGGCTGTGTCACTCACACGCACAGCCTGAGGCACATGGTGTAGTGTTGGCGTCTCACTGCCTGAGTAGCCTGAGCTGAGGCCGTGGGTCCCTGACTGCACTGGGTACCACGACTTTTATGCTTTCTCATCTCCTCCTGGGAGAACCCCTTCTTTGGAAGGAATGCCATGTAAAGCAGTGCAGTAGAATGTATAATAGTTTCTTCCAAGTTGAGAGAGTTGTTTCGTGGGACACGCGTGTCTCTGTTTAGATTGGTCCAGAATACACAGAAGCATCTGGCAACATACACTGTCCTCTGTTTATCCCATGAAGAGGGATGTCTGTGTATCTCTCTCGCCTGTTTTGTAACATTTCTGGCTTCATTCCATGTGAGATTCTGCTAACTGTTGAAGCCAGCAGTGCTCAAATTTTTATACTTAAGGGTAGACACTGAGTATTTTTTTTCTTTTTTCTTTTTTTATGTCTACAGAAGGATTTGTGATCCCTTCAATTAGTTAAGGTTTTTGGAAGAATCTTTTATGATTTCTTCCGACCACTTTAAATCTTTAAAATTGTTGAAACCCCAGTTTTGTATAGTGAATATCAACCTATGTAGTTAAAAAAAAAAAAAAAAAAACCTCTTCATTTTCTTAGGCATTGTGTTCTGTAACCCTTAATCTACTTTCACGTAAGAAGAAAAGAAAGCAAAGACCAGTGTGTGAGGGGTCTGTCCCCAGGGCATTGGTAACAAGCCGGCCTGTAGTGCTTGTGGCTCATGGGGAAATCCCTGACACAGTATATTTGAAGAAAAGTCAGCTACAGGGCGTTGCATAGCCAGGCCGAGGAGACCCTGAACACTCATTCCTGTGTGTGTGTGTGTGTGTGTGTGTGTGTGTGTGTGTGTGTGTGTAAAGTGCAAAGGGCTGATCCCTTTGCAGAGGTACTTAGCAGTGTGGCACAGGTGATAGAGCACCTTGTTCTGCTGTGTTCTGGAACTGCAGATCTTGGACAAGGGTTCGTGTGCTAGGGAGTGTAGGGCCAGATAGAAATGAGGGGAAAGCACAGGATTCTAGTCCTTAGACACTGTGAGCCTTCGTGGCTGCCTGCCTGGACCCCCCATCCCATCTTTTCAGACCTGTGTGGTGGCAAGACCACCTTGCATCCTCCTCTGTCCATCTAAGAATTGAAAAGTAGATGTTCAAGGAAGGAAATGAACTAAGAAGCCAGAAGTGATGCAGGGAGCAACCTGAGAGTGCTTAATGCTTTTATCTTTACGTGCATGAGCTGAGCTTGGAGTCCACTTAAACAGAATCTGACCAAGAACTTCAGTTTTCCAGGAAAAGTAGGAGAGACACCCCCCGCCCCCACCCCCCACCCCATTTTGCTGTGTTCTGGAGTGTTAGGAAAGTGTATGTTAAGAGCACTGGTGTATGAATACTTGAAGTCTTGGCTCTATGTACTGCACACTTTGCAGTATATTCTATTTCACTAAGATTCCCTGTATATAAAGTATGTAAGTGGGATGGAACTTACGTTATGTAGAAAGAAGAGCAGGCATGAGAGGACACATTGTGTGCTCACATGTACTTACATAGACATTGAAAAGGTAAAATTAGCTGGGTGTGGTGGCACACACCTATAATCCCAGCACTCTGGGAGGCAGAGGCAGGCGGATCTCTGTAAGTTTGAGACCAGCCTGATCTACAAAGTAAGTCTAGGACAGCCAATGAGACACAGAGATCCTGTCTTGAAAAACAAAAACAAAAAACAACAAAAGGGTAAAATTAGTCTGTGTTATGATATGAAAAGTTGAGGAACTACTTAAGAATGGTCCTGATGGGCTCCTGGAGCACTGGATGTCCTAATTCTTGGTCTGGAGGGGCTGCAGGATGACTCAGCAGGCTTTTTTTTTTTTTTTTCCTCTTGACAGTGCAGCCTGACAACTGGCGTTTGACCCTTGGAACCCGCATGGAGACGGAAGGAGGGGACTGACTCCCATAGTCGTCCTCTGACCTTCACATGTCCCGGTGCACCTCCACAAAGAATACGTTTAATTTCAAAACACAATGGGATGTGTGCCAGAATTGTGTGCAATCCATAGAAATGTTACAGTAAAGTTGGAAATGTGGGCAAAGGCTCAAGTTCTCATCAAGCAGATACAAAGTGCGATAGATGGATGACTAGAAAAGTAACTTCTCGCCTTCCTTTTCTTCCTCCCTGCTTTGGTTCCTCCCCTCGATCAGATCAAAACCCCACCCAAGATGAGGGGACTGCTCTTGCTTCTTGCCTGGCCTCCATGAAAAGTTACTAAGTATACAACCAGAACCCTGTAGGGTTACTTTGGAGGAACAGGATGAGGGATGAGTCACTTTGGAGCTTCCGTCTCCTTCCCTTGCGGTATTTCCAAGCCATTACTAACTTCTTGATTGAACCAAATCAAGACTTGAACGTGATTTTTGTTTCTGTTTCTCACTGGCTGAGAGAAATTGTGTGCCTTTGGAACCTGTTGGCCTTCCCTGGGTGTAGACTTCAAAGAAGAATGTGGGCAGTTATAGGATTTATTCACCAGTGTTGAGACTGACAGTTCTAGTGAAGAGGAGTTGGTGCTGCTGTGTCAGGCTTCCACGTCACTGCTTCCCTTCCCAACCACTGTCTCTGGTGAACTTTCAGAGCCTTAGACAAACTAAATGGATTCCAGTTGGAGAACTTCACCCTCAAGGTCGCCTACATCCCGGACGAAGCTGCCGTCCAGCAAAATCCCTCACCGCAGCTCCGAGGGCGCCGGGGCCCGGGGCAGCGGGGCTCATCCAGGCAGGCATCTCCAGGATCACTGTCCAAGCAGAAACCCTGTGACCTGCCTCTGCGCCTGCTGGTTCCCACCCAGTTTGTTGGAGCCATTATAGGAAAAGAAGGTGCCACCATTCGGAACATCACCAAGCAGACCCAGTCTAAGTGAGTATGTGGGCATGGGTGGCCATCCTGCCTTCCCTTTGTGTTTAGTGTGAGGGTGTGAGATGCAGGAACCTGGTGTCCTTCTGAACGGAGCTGGGAGCTCTTTTTCCAATACTCGGGACTGTGGCAGGGGGAAGCCTTGTTCTCTGATCATGCGTGGTTGGTTGTATAAAACCTCAAAGGGAACCTCCTTTCCTCACATGAATGGAAAACAAATGGTACTCGATGCCCCTGTGGTGGGAAAGGCCCTAACCGACTACAGGGCAGTGTGCAGGTCACAGGCCTCAGGTCTGCCTTCTGTCCCCCAACAGCCTGCAGTGCCCACCCATTTTGTCTTGGCATCAGTATAGAGGTGGCGTGTTAGCCTGTGTTCACTTCAGTGAAGACCAGTTCTTCTGCTGAGTGTGGTAGTACGCACCGTCTCAGGAGGTGTGGACAGGAAGGTGAGGACTTAAGCACATAGTGAGTTTGACGGTGGCTGGGGCTACGTGAAGTAAACTCACGAAGGGCTGGCAAGATGGCGCAGCACATGAAAGCACTTACTGCGAGGACTCCCACCGCCGCCGGCATTCCATCCCCGCATCCCACAACGGAAGGAGAAAACAGGCTCCTGAAAGTTGTCTCTTGACTTCTCAAAAATTTGTGCATGAATTCAGTTCCTCTGTAAGAAGAGTGAGCACTCTTACCTGCAGAGCCACTTTCCAGCCCTCCTGAGATGTCTTTCCATGCGAACTCAGGCGTGCACTCACCCGTTCTCATACACACCAGACACATCCACAGTAAGTAACATTAAAAAAAAGAAAATGGGTTTCATCCTCTGGTCCAAATTTGTCCTGTGGTTAAGCCAGAAGCTGGAATGCTTTTTTCTTGAGGATATTTGATAATGGTATTTGGCAGGCTTTCAGATTTTGGAAAATCCCAGTCAAGCCTCAGAGCCCACTTTTCTGGAGTCAGGCAGGGACTCTTGTCATTTATCATCACGGCTCCAGTGTGTAGGGCCGCTGCCTGATACACAAGAAGCTAACAGCATTGCCAAATGAACAAGATGACTGTACACAAATTAGTTTGAAACCTATCTCCTAAATCTAAGACCCTGTTTCAGACTGCAAACTCCATTGCGTTACAGGTTACTTGTTTTACCCTGGAAACCGTGCAGTTTGTGGGTGTTTTGATTCAAAGAAGCTTGCTGATAAACACTCCCTCCACTCCCGCCTCCGTAGAGTGCTACAAATACATTGCTGGCCCTGTTCAGCCATGCTCCCAGAAGAATTGAACTCTCTAGGAAGGAAGTTAATGGGAGAAGAGATTGTGTGCAAACAGCATCTTTTTGCAGCTTGATCCAGCTGCAGAAATGACTAGACGGTAGGAATAAGGGTTTCATGTGATTAGAGAAATTGAGCATGGTCGTTTCCTGAAAATAACACGTGTACTTTGTGCGGTTCCTGGGCCTCAGTGAGGCCTCCGTGTCCATCACAGGCCCTTTGCTGCAGCCCTCTGGGAGACTCCTTCTCATGCAGAACTTAAAGGAATTGTATCTAGCCAGGACTGCATGTTTACCCAGCCCCGCTGACATAGCCTGTTCTGCTCACCCCTACTTTGAAGCAAGAGACACTGGTGTTGGGTACCTGTGTGCAAAATTAATGATTCCAAACTCATAATTAGTGGGTGGGGAGAACAATTGAACCATTATTTAGGTCAGGGCTTCTTAAATTTTGCTCGTGATCCTTTTTTTTTTTTTTTTTTCTGAGAAAATTGTACATATTCTTCAGAAAATGGTCTCCAGGGTTCAAATCAAGCATTTACTAATAATAAATTCTTTAAAAATGTATTTTTAAAATAATTATTTGGTATTCATGTGAGTTTACCATTGATTAAAGGTGAAGACTGATTTGCATAGTAATGAGGCACATGCCTTGTTTGTTGCCACATGAAGAATTAAATCTTGGCTGAGTAGTTGCCCCTGCGGGACACAGAGCATCTTCAAGTTTTCCACAGCGGATCAACGCTTTGATTCTGTACTCAGTGTTGGGCACGCAGCTTCAGCATAAATATGTAGTACAAAATGGCACAGGTATATTTAGGCCCTCCCATAAGTTGTTGAAAATTCTATCCTAATCCCAAGCCAAAGAAATCACTCTTGATTTTTTTTTTTCTTAATGAAACTCAAATAAGCAACTCAAACACCAATTTCTAAAATCAAATATTTCTACACAGTACATTGCAAAGATATGCCTGTTTGATGTGTGTTGGGGAATGTAGCAAAATGTTAAAAAGCCTTTGTTTTTCTCAGTTTAACATGTTTCTCAAAGAACGGAAACGGTAAGAACACTGGTTCTTAGCACCTTGCGCCTGAGGTGTTGAAGGCCATGATCCCTGCTGTGAGGGCGTAAGCGGTGCAGTACAGAGTGCTCATGCTGCTTGCTCAGAACCAAGGCTGCAGTGAGGTTACACGAGCCATGTCCGAGTGCTTCCAGAACACACTGCATTCATTCCATTTGATTTGGAAATGAATTTTGGTCACCTCATGTTCAGAAAGAAACCTTTTCTATTGGACAGATTTTTCACAGCCCTCACATTGAATAATGGGTCCCGTATGTGTCTGTGACCCATAGTTGAAGAAGCTGGGACGTGGATCAGTTTACCTAGCTTTCATCTGAAAGTGTAGAGTCTCGCCTCCTTCCGCCACTTACCTCAGGGACTTAGTACGAGGTTGCTTTTTGCTTTAGCAAGCTTTGTTCCTTCCTTGGCTGCTAATGAGATCTGTCAGATAAAGGAGCCGTGGCTTAAGCTGAACTGTTTACTTAAGGTAGGCAGATGGGGCAAAGCAGAAGGGAGTGTTTTTGTCGTATCTGCTGATTCGGTTGCAGAGCTCTGTTGGTGGATTTAATTAATTCTTGCCATTGTAACTAATCATTACCAGAACCCCTGTTTCTGGAATAGTCCCAGGGGAGGTGCTGATCACCAGAGCAACATTCCCTTCTTGGGGTCAGCGTTTTATAGCCCTCAGCGCAGTAAGAGGGTGGAGATACACCAAAGGAGGGGCTGTGACCATGTTAATGGAAGACACATGGCTGACAGCGAGCAGGTTTTCAAGTTGGTTGGGAGGATGTTCCCTGGGATTGGAGCTATTATCTAGACACAGTTTTAGGTATTATAGTGCATAGTTCTTACTTGTTTCATTTCTGTATTACCCTAAGTTACGTGTTTTAATTCTGGGGCAAATCCTAATAAAATGAAATGCAAGCCTTAGTTTTATTGGCTTGTTGAAGTGGCTGTTCTCATAACAGTGGGTCCTTAAGAGATGAAGAAATGCAAAGGACCACCCAGCAATTGCTTAGAGGTAGTTAATGTTCTCACAACAGGAAACTTAATTCATGTTTAATTAAAAATGCACAAATACACACATTTTTAAAAGAATGAAATTAGAGTCTTGTCACCCCAGCGTCATTAGGTTTGGGCTGTTGTATCTTTATATAGGATGTGTTTAGGACTTACTTGCATCTATTGTAACCTAAAAAAAAAATAACACATGGTATGTATTGCATATTTCTACTTGAGATCAAGGACTACTTACTATGTTACTACATTTTGTAAAAAGTAGCTACAGATGTAGCTTAATGGTACTTGGCTCCTTGCACTCAGTGTCCTGGGCGCCATCTCTGCTATCACAAAAGGGAAACCAGCTGTGTGATACATACAGGCAATTACTTAACCCTCTTGTTCCAACAAGCATAGTAATAATTCCAGATTTTTTTTTTTTTCTAATAGAAATAGTGCTACAGTGAACACTAACACCCCAGTGGTTTCTGACCAGAGGTGATTCTCTGAGTGAACTTTTGGCAGTTTCTGGTGATGTTTTTGATTGTTACACCTCAGTGAAAGGGTGCTATTGTCATCTCATAGGCAGAGGCCATAGCTGCTGCTAGAGCCACCGAAAGAATGAACTTGGCCTAAAATATGAGTGTTGAGGGTGAGAAGCAGGACTCTGAGTAGTTAGGTCAGAAATGGTGAGGAGCTTGTGAGATGCCTCAGCAGGTGAGCATGCTTGCAGTGAGAGCCTAAGGAGCTTGACCCCAGGAACCCACGTAAAAAGCTGGACACAGGTGCACATCGCTGACCCCAGCACTCCTACTGGGAGGTGGAGAAAGGAGACTCTAGAAGACTGTAGGCCAGCTAGCCTGGAGTACAAAGCAAGCAGAAAGAAGAGGGAGCTTGCCTCAATGAAGTGGAATGAGGGGCTGAGCGTTCTCTGGTCTCCATGCATGCACTGTGCTGTGTGCGTGTCCATACTCACAAAGGTCGTCCACAGCAACAATAATATTTTTATCTGTCAGCCTTATACCTTCCGTTGGTCCCGCCAACTTGCTGCCAAAAATGTGGATCAGCTTCGTTACCCTTCACTTCACCAGTATTTAATTTTATGCATCTTAAAACATTTACAGGTCTAGAACAACAACAACAAAAAATCATGTATTAATTGACACATATATATATATATATAATTACTAGCTGGTTTAAACATTAGTCTAGTTTATTGGCAACTTGCTTTTGGGCTCTTTGGATTTTGTTTTTTTCAAGACTGTGTGTGTGTGTGTGTGTGTGTGTGTGTAGTTCTGGCTCTGGCTGTTCTGGAACTCTCTCTGTAGACCAGGCTGGTCTCAAATTCAGAGATTGGCCTGCTTCTGCCTCCCAAGTGCTGGGATTAAAGGCATGTACCACTGTTGCTTGGCTTTTGCCTTTTTTTTTTTTTTTTAAGCCAATTGGCCACCTCTTTAGTTCCATTCCCATCACCGTTTGTTGTTCATCTATCAATGAGGAAGAAGAGTGTAAACAAAATGCTAGATAAGTAAAGTGTGCTGTAGGGTGCCTGGTGGGTGTCCTTTGTTTAACAGGGGACCTGGGTGTGGGATTCCAGCCCTGGCTCGCTCAACATGCACAGTTCTCTGCATCTCAGGCTCTTGACATTACATGATTGCTCTGAGCATATAAAAGGAAGCCTTAAGCACACACAGCTTAGGCAGAATGAAAAGATGTTTATACCTGATTGGATTGAGAAAAGAGAGCGCTCCTGTTGGCTGGGGCTGAAGTTCGGTGCTTGCTCAGTGTATTGGGTGCCTGTGTCTGCTGGGACAAGGGTCCGACTAAAACAACTTAAGGCAAGAAAGACATGTTGGCTCATGGTTCTAGAGAAGATAACCCGCCATAGTAGTGGCAGTGGCCGGAGCAGGAGGCATCTTGTCACATTGGATCTACAGTCTGGTAGCAGAGAAGGATGCAGGCTCTTGTGTTCAGCTTGCTATCTCCTTTTTATGCAATCCAGGATCCTAAGACCACAAAATGGTACTGTCCCCATTTAGGGCACACCTTCTCCAATCTATAAACTCTCAGACGTGCCTGGAGATTTAAACCGCGTCCAGGGGACAGTCAAGATTCCCCGCCATAACAAGAAGCATGCACGAAGTGCCCAGGTTTGCATGGATTGGACATGTCTGTGAAAGTCTGTGGTCTTAGCATGGCCTGGACATGTTTGTAAAAGCCTGTGGTCTTAGCATGGACTGGACATGTCTGTGAAAGCCTGTGGTCTTAGCACTCTGAAGGCAGAGGAGGAGGGTCACAAGTCAAGGCCCTTTCCCACTTTGTAGTGAATTTAAGGCCCACCTGGATATGTGGTGCCTTGTCTTGAAAACATCCCCTCCCCAAATCTGTAATGTACTGGTGTTGACAGCTGAACAGGTTCTGCTTTTTAATAAAGTGGGTCTTCCTTGGCTCCCCCACAATCCTGGGGCTCACAGTTGGTGGTTGATGATTCCTTGTATGAATGTGCACTGACTCTTGTCATTTTCCTCTCCTCTTGCCTGCTATCAGAATTGATGTCCATCGTAAGGAGAATACAGGGGCCGCCGAGAAGTCCATTACTATCCTCTCTACCCCTGAAGGCACTTCTGCAGCTTGTAAGTCTATTCTGGAGATTATGCATAAGGAAGCGCAAGATATAAAATTGTGAGTAATGAGGTCTAGCCTGCCAAGAGGGTTCTCTGCTTTGTGTAGATTTCTCTGACGCTGTTCTTGGAAATTGCTAACCAGCAGAGGGAAGTGCTATCCTGACAAGTTAGTGTTTGTCACTGTTGGCTTAGTGTAAAACGCTAAGTCTTTAGATACCGAAATACTCCATATCCATTCATACTTAGAAATGGAACAAGCAGCAATAATGGGGAGAAGTGCAGCTGGGGGACAGCCAGCCTAGGGCCAAGAAGTAATTTGGGATTTACCCCAGTTGGCCCTAGGCCTTTATTGGCAGATGTTGGACATTGCATTTGTCTATACCCAGCCCTCCGGTGCACAATAGGGCACAGAGCTGTGAAAGCCCCTAATCCTGTGCTAAGGGCAACTGGGGATTGATCTGGGTGATGCAGTCTGGAACTGAGTGTCTCTGCCATTGGGAAGTTAGGTTGGAGTATGCTACTTTGATGCACTGAACACAGAGCCCAGAGCAAGGTTCAAGGAGGTCGCCTGGGACCTCATCACTTTTATTTACTTTGTAAAGGCCGTTGTAAGTATGTTTTATAAGTGTTTTGTGTGCGTATAATCTTTTTTTTTTTAGTGTAGAGAAAATAAAGGGAAAACCCACTGCAGTGGAACCACCTGTGACATTTTAAAAGAGTGATATGTAATGTGGAAATTCTGAAAGGGGGGCTGAGTAAGTAGCCCAGTGGGTAAGGTGCCTACCATGTAAGGTTGTGAGCATGAGCTTGGGTGCTTAGACCCATGTCAAGAATGGCTATGCTGCTGGCATTTGTGTATCTCTAGCCTGGGGAAGGTAAGGGCAGCAGGTCAGAGGGCACCAGGTTCAGTGAGAGACCCTATCTTAAAAGAAAGGTGATGAGCAGATACTTGACACTTCCGGCCAACACGTGCACTCATGGGTGAGTATCCCTACATACATGTGTATACACACATATACCACCAGAAAGAGAGGAGGAAATCAAGGCTCCCCAGAAGCACCAAATACAGAGGGAAAGCTCCCTATCTCCTTATACAGCCTCTCCCAGTATGGCCGCTGTTGGGTTTTGTACTGGTTTATCTCCAGGTGTGTGTTTTCAAGGTTATCCTAGGGTCGTACTGTTTTCGTTTGTGCATCCTGTTCCACTTTGACTAAGAGAATCTATCACTGAGCACAGATATTCCCTGATGTGAGTAAGAGAAAAACTGTCTTCAGGGTGAACTCCTGTGTAAATGCCTGCTGTTGTTTACCCGCCATCCTGCATGAGCTGTTGGAATGTAGGTTAATTGCCAGCTCTCCTTAAACTGGAGGCAGTGTAACGTTTTTCATTCAGTAGTTAGGGAGTAAATGTTTAATGACAGAACATTGTCTTTACCTGAGTGGTTTACTCCCCCTGACTTTTCCCGCTTTTCTGTTCACAGCACGGAGGAGATCCCCTTGAAGATTTTAGCTCACAATAACTTTGTAGGCCGTCTCATTGGCAAAGAAGGAAGAAACCTCAAAAAAATTGAGCAAGACACGGACACTAAAATCACAATATCTCCGTGAGTGCCATCTTGTTTGTGAATGCGGGATCTTTCAGATCCTGTTTTTAGGCTGTGTGTTTTGTACATGGTTCCTGCTTACAGCTGTTTCTGCTCTCCATTTAGACTGAGAGCCTTTCTCTCAGCCCTCTACCTGTCCTGTTCCTAACTGTCTTGAAAGTGTTCTCACAGAGGCGGTGGCAGTTTACTACTCGACATTCATAGTTTCTACTTGAAGCCTTCATGGTATTGTTTGGCATTTATTTCCCAAGCTGGAATTATAACCTAATTTATTGTCCTTTGGTGTATTACAAAGTATTCCACCACTTGACAACTGAAGGCACTAGTCAGCATGTTTCGCATGGCTGGTTTATGTGGATCAGGGATGCAGGGCAGCTCAGGACATCAGCACCAGCCTGTCCACAGGGCTGCTCTTAAGCAGAGGGAGTGGGCCAAGCGAGAGAAGGTGCTGGACATGGCAGTGTCTTGTGATGAAGTCCCAGTGTGGCCTGCACAAGTCAGCTTTATTCCATGTGTGTAGAGACTGCAGATTTCCTCGTGAGGGGCATGGTTTGGAGGTGGGTTATAACGCCGGCATACACACCCACTGGGATAATAAGGGGTCTTCCCTGATCGGAGTGACAGTCCTTGGTTTCCATCCTAGAACCCCAGAAGGTGGGAAATGACTGATGAAAGTGAATGACAACGTTACAGTACATGCTTGACAGAGATGGCTTGAGAATGGAGGTTTGAATTATATACTCACATAGTCTAAGGAAACCTAGGCTCCATTATGTAGAGCTCATGTTTTCATTGTGTGATTTACATTTTAAGTACATACGAGGAAAAGGAACAACATCCCGCCCACCTGGTGCCGGTTAGTCTCCACCGTCCCTAGCAGTGAAAATGGGTGTTGAACATAAAAGGCAGTCATGCCTCCCCCTCTCCTCCTCCCACCTCCATCCTTTGAGACTAGGTACAGAGTCCCCTTCCAGGGGTAAATGTTGCTTTTCCTCTCAAGGCTGCTGACTAATGTAGGCTTAGGTGCACCCAGACATACCTTCTGATTGCTTTTGAAGCTTCAGCAGGACCTGGACTAAGCAAGGAATTTCACAATGCTTCTTAAGGGAGCTACATGAACCATTACAAATTTTAGTCAAGATGGCTTGATATGTGTTACTTCCTTTTACCTACTTGAATCTAAATTCCGAAAATATTGGAGAAAACTAAGGTCAGTCACACAATTTGCCTTTGGCAGAGTACTTTCTTGTACTTTCCTTGCTTATTGCAAAACATGCAGTTGCACAAGATAGCTGCTTCTGTCTAGAATTGGCCAATAAAGACTAGGAGCTTCCTGGTAGTACTATACATCCTTTTGATCACCCCTCTTCAGTTCGCTGTCAGGGTGAAATGAGGGTCAGGAAGTGAGCTGTGTTTTAAACATGGTCGTACTGAAGCCATGTGTGCAGGAAGTCCTTAGGAGTCTTGGACTGTGTCTTCAGTGCCTGTCCTCCACCGTCTCATGATGCCGGCTCCTGGCCATTGATTTTAGTTGCCTTGCACGGCTGAATGACTGTCACTGTCTTCCTCCTGTCATTCTCGCTCTCTCTTCTCCTCTGCCTGCAGGTTGCAGGAACTGACGCTGTACAATCCGGAGCGCACCATCACAGTTAAAGGCAATGTTGAGACGTGTGCCAAGGCAGAGGAAGAAATAATGAAGAAAATCAGGGAGTCTTATGAAAATGATATTGCTTCCATGAATGTTAGTTCTGGTGTGGGGCTGTCATGTTCTCGTGGAGAGTTCAAAGGTGTTTCTCGAGGCTCAGTATGAACTCTCTCAGTGGCACCAGTGTGAGAAGTGCTTGAAATGAGTTCTCAGCACCAAGCTCCCTGTGATAACCTGAATCGTTGCTATTGGGCTTAGTTGTCTCTGTGATTACTAACAAATTTAGATAGCTTTTGAACCTTGGCTCCTTTATATATATGGAATGATTAATACCTGCTCACCAAAGGTTATCACCACCTTTCCTATGTTAATTTGAGGCTCCATACAGGAAGGATGTGAGCCAAGTGTTTATGAGCAGCAGCTTTCTTCTCTGTATCAGATAGCTGCTCTCTCCTGTTTTACATGCTTTTTAAAATTATAGCAAGTACCGTGCATATGATAGTTACTATTGGAAACACACGCATAAGAGCCGGGCAGTGTGGAGCTTGCCCAGCAACTTGGAAGGCTAAGGTGGATGGATTGCAAGATCAGGGCCACCTTGAGAATTTGGAAGGTCATGTCTTGAGCATAATATAAGTTTAGGGGAAGAGTGCTTGTCTCTCATGCCTCAGCACCTGCACTATTGGATAATAAAACAAAGCAGAAACACAGGTGTGAATATTACTGTATTGCCCATACAAACCTGGGAGACTGAGAATTTCATATGGCAAATGTAGAGAAAGCTATGAAAGCAAATTCCTGCCACTGTTCAATGGATGGTATGGTGTTAACAACGGAACACTTCAGAAGTTCACTTTTAAGAAAGTGCTCTTTAAATATGAGGTGAATGATTTAACTGGTCTGTTGTATGAGCCAGTAGTCTAAGAAGAAAATATGACGGCATTTTTTCTGTGAGAAGAACCTGGAATCCTGGTCATTTCATCCCACATGATGGCCTGCCCATCGTTATGTGATTGCTGCTTTTCTAAATGTCTCAATGGACTGAGAATTAATCCACCCTTATTGGCCTTGTTAACAGTGTCAGATACACTCCAGTTCAATTCTAGCCTCCACCTGTTTCTACTCTTAAAGATTTATGCTTGGCAAGATGGAGCAGTGTTTAGGTGTACTTGTTGCTCTCCTAGACAACCAGGATTTGATTCCTAGCACCCACACGGCAGCTCATAGCCATCTGTAGTTCCATTTCTAGGGGCTCTGATATCCTCTTCTGGCCTCTATGGGTACTGCATGCACATGATGTGCAGATATACAAGCACCCAAACACCCACAAGCATATAGTAAAATATATATATATATATTTTTAAGAAAATACATATATTTTAGATAGATAGATAGATAGATAGATAGATAGATAGATATAGATTTTTTTTAACTGAAACTGTTCCCTCCATGGCTCCTGTATTCTCCCCAGAGGTATGCTTAAGTTAGGTTTCAGTGTGAAGATGGGACCATTTTTGAAATTTCATCTAGAAAGCAAGGAATGAAGATCTTTTCATACCGCTTGTTCTGCGTACCTGGTGTGACTTCAGAAAGTGCAGTGCATCTCACTTACTTACCCTGTAGCTATGGAAAGACTTCGAGGGTGTGTTTATGGAAGACCCACAATGTGCAGAGAACCGTTCTGTCTGAAGAGCTTTGAGCTGGTGGAGAGGAAGGACCATGCAGCCCTTCTTGCCCCTGAGACTCCCCAGTGCAGATGAAGATCAGAACAGGGCAAAGCAACTCTCGAATGTAACAGCATGGAGGGAGAACAGTACCTGGGATTCTGTGGGAACACCTGTGTGCTCAGAAACTGGAGTCTTAGTGTGGTATTTTCTTTATTAGACAACAGGCCATAGTCTGAATACTGTGCAAATGTTCACTCCCTGATTCTGTTGATAGAAAATTAAGAGTCCTTTTTACCATTGCAGCTTCAAGCACATTTAATCCCTGGATTAAATCTGAATGCTCTGGGTCTCTTCCCACCTACTTCAGGGATGCCACCTCCCACCTCGGGGCCCCCATCAGCCATGACTCCTCCCTACCCACAATTTGAGGTAAGCTCTCTGGCCCTGGCCGTGTGGCTGCAGTGCCACAGGAGCGTTATAGTCAGGGCTAGGTGGTAAAATGTTCATGCCTGGGTTCCGCCACCCATATGGAGGTCATGTGCGCCATAGCATTTGTCAGCAGAAGTTTTCAACTTGACTCCAAAATAGTAAGCATGAGTTGTTTTGAAGTTTTGGGGTGGTGGGGTTGTGCAAATGTGCCATTTTAATAAAAACAACAGTCTTGGTGGATTTGTTTTGTTGTTTTGTCTTTGGGGCAATGCTTCAGGGTCTAGGCTGAGTGTCTTAGAGAGAGGAAGGAAGGGGGTTTTTAGGAGACCTCCGTGATGACACAATGTGCACACTAGTAAGTCCAGCTCTCCTGCTGAGGCAGGAGGATTGTGAGGTTGAGGTCAATCTGCATTCCATAGTAAGACTTTGTCTCAAAAAAAAATTTTTTTTTTCTTTTTGCCATCTGAAGTTAACTGCTTAGAAGGTCTGTATATGCCAGGCTTGTTTGCCACTGAGTGTTATATTTTCCTGGTCAGTGAGCCAAGGTAGTTTTCCTCACAGCTCTACTGTGTTCATTGTTGAACATTGAACAGCTTGTATTTCGTAGAGATTATATGACAAATGTATTTGTTAACTGAGACAGGAATTTTTAATTATTTTATGTGCACGAGTAGTTTCTCACGTATGTCTGCACCACATGGACCTAGTGCCGGCAGATGTCAGAAGAGTGGTGGGGTCGGATCCCCTGAACTGGGGTTCTGGATGGCCATGCAGGTGCCAGGAATTAACCCAGGTCTTACCCACTGAGCCTTCTCTCCAGTCCTGACACAGACACTTGTGTGGACAAAGTCTTTCCATGTAGCCGCGCTGACCTCATATTTGATGCTTTCCTACTCTGATCCCCCAGTGTTGCGAGCCCATAATGCTTTTCGTAAGTCTTATCTTGATATCCAACTTTTGAGATTAGCTTAGCAGCCCAGAATCCATCAATCCAGCAAAGTAGAGCATCCTTCAGTTTGCATCATTAGTATTCTGCATTCTAGGGTCATCAGTGATGAATTTGTTTCTCCGTGGTTGTTTTTTTTTTTTTTTTTTAAACTCTCTTAACACATGAAATTTATGAATGGTAGCTCCCATGTACATTCAGAGATGTTCAAGCATTACAGGTCAAGAATTTAGTTGTGTCACTTCTAAGAGTAAATACACAAGTAAATTGACCTTGGCATTCTTCAGAGAACATCGGTTACTAGGCAGTCAGTGCTCTACCACTTCAGAATGAAAATTTCTTTTTCTATCACTGAGCCTATCCGCCTGACAGGTTTTGTGAGCTTCTCTCTGTTGTACACCTCTGCTGTTCCTGAGCAAACCACAGTGTTGCTCCAGGGTCTCTGCTTCCAGTCCTGCCTCTCGGTGTGTAAATCTCTAGGTTTCTTGAATCTTGTATCTTTCTCTGCACTAGCCTGCCGTATCTAGTTGTCTGGGCCTAGAAACTATGTAACAGATCTGAGGATAGTTTTCCCGGTGGCAACTAACTGAACACTGCAAGAGGAGTGTGCACCTGTGTCTCAGCTCCTCGAGGCACTAACAAAGGGAGGGCTGCTGAAGCTGACAATTCACCACAACCACGAGCAACCTAGAGAGCCCGGGTCCCCCAGGACGGTGTACACCAAATGCCAAGTATGAACAGAGCCACTACAGAGCGTCTGAGGCCTTTGGCTCAGACACAGGGATTATGAAGTAGCTGGCAGGTTTGAGCCCGATGGCAGTCTTGGGGAAATTGGAGTCACTCCAGGTCTGGCCTGGCTCTGCTGTAAATTTGTGCCACTGAGGGTTGGTCAGGCTCTTACTGTCACAATGAAAACTCTGATCTGAGCAGAGTGACACTTGTAATCTCAGCCTCCAGTGGCTGGGGCAGGAAAGCTGCTGTGAATTCTAGGTCAGCTTGGTGGGACTCGGCAAGCCTGGTGGGCTCAACTCGAGAACAACTTCTGGGGATAGAGACCTGTGTTGAATGAGTGATCTCAGGAGACTCTCAGTCTTCTTTTGTTTACAGAATTGAGTAATGTTGACATTGGTAGGAGGGTGAAGGTGAAGGGCCTCAAGTAGAAATTCAGGAGTACATTTAAATCATTAATTGTGCTGGTTAAGGTGTTTTTTTTTTTTTTTTTGGTCAACTGACACAAGCTAGGTTCATCTAGAAAGAAAGAACCCAGTTGAGAAAACGCCTCTGTCAGATCCACCTGTAGGCAAGTCTGTGGGGCATTCTCTGGATTGGTGATTGATAGGGCAGGCCCACAGTGAGTGTTGCCCCCAGCCCCTGTGGGGGCTTCTGAGCATGGGGTGCAAGACAGGAAACAGTGTTCCCATGGCTTCTGGAGTTCCGGCTTTGAGTTTCTTCCCTGATGTCCCTTCCTTTTGGTCATGGTATTTACTACAGCAATAGAAAGCAAGCAAGGCCAGTTGTTTAACTTCTAAAATGCCCAAAAGTTTATTACAAATAGATTCATTTGTTCTAGGTTTAAGTTTATAGCAGATGCTTCCCTGACATTCACTTAAACTTACAGCGTGCCTAGTATCTGTGCCATTTAAGGCTGTATCTACTGGACATCGTTGTTCAGTCTCCTAAACCAGCTCTTTGGCCAGCTTGCTTATCTCTGTTCTGTTGCTCAGGCTCATAGTTTGTAAATTGGGATGTTGTAAATTAAAGAATGCCTTTAACTGTTTGTTTGTTTGTTTGTTTGTTTGGCGTCTCCACAGCCACCACTGCAGTAAACCTGGATTAAAAAGTAAAAGGCAGATGTGTTCAGGGGATTAGTCTCTGCCAGGCCAGCTCAGGCTCTTACAGTGGGAGTGCCATAAAGTCCTGCAACAGGGCTGGGTTGGGAGCTTTTTGTAAAAGAGGGATGGGGGGCAGGGACATGCTTGATAAGGTATTAGAATGTTGCATGGGTTTGGGGTCTGGTCGGTGTGTCCAGAATCCAGTGGTCACTTTGTGTGGGCTTTTGTAAGCACTCTTCTAGCTGGAACCCAGGGTTGAGGGTGTACTCTTTGTCCCCAAACCTCCAGTCTAACATCCTGACCTCCTTGGGTATAACGGCACCAACTCAAGCCTGACTATGTCTGGCTGAGTCAGGGATGCCGAGGGGAGGGGATGTCGGGAGTAGGTGGGGTTGTGGGCACAGAGATACAGGGCTATAGGAGCATTTTGGCCACCCTGGAAACCTTGTGGATGTGTTCCTATAGAAAGCAGAGGAGGCAAAGCTCTAGGAGAAAACATAGATGGATTATAACCACTGGCCCCATGAACAGGGCCTAGCTATGGCAAGGGAGAGGACTGCCAGAAGGAGTGAAATAGAGACGTGTGTGGCCAAGTTCTTTGGCCAGCGTGTGGAGTATCTTAATAGTTTCCACCAAACCCAGTTAGTTGATACAGTTCAGTACTCTCCCCCAAGACACGCTGGTGCCTCTCTTGTCTGCCATGAGGAGGTCTAACGTTCTCCAGTTCTGCTTGGCCACCTGGGCTACTGAAGTGATCTGATGCTGGGGGTGGGGAGGAGGGCAGTGACATTGCCAGGTTATCAGTGGCCCTTAAAGACACCCCTTTGATCCCAGCTGCTTAGTATCCCTCAGTTGTGTGCCCTGAAACTCGTTGCTATTGTTGAGGAAACTGCAGGAATACCTGTCAGTGTTACCCAGCATAACCAGCAAAGGGTGCTTGAGGCTGGGAGAAGAAAGTAGGAAAGGAGAGTGTGGCCATTTCAGCCTTTGCAGTGTCACCCCTGGATACATAGAGGAGCGACCACCAAGGGGCAAGTTTTTTGATATGTAGCCATTGAATCACAAGAACCCCTGGGGGCTGCCCAGGCAGATACCAAAGTCGAGTTAGTAGTATTCCAAAGGGAGTGAGGTCTGGAGTAGCAGAAAGGGAATTGGGTGTTCAGAGAGCTGCGGAAGAGGCTCTGTCTGGTACGGTAGTAAGTAGTCTATAGCTAGGGGTCAGCCCTTGGCTGCATGAATGGACTAGGCAAGGGCACTGCCATCAGAGGGGGTGACCCAGAGCAACACAGAATACAGTTGCTGAGGCTGGAGACTTTAGTGGGGTAAAGTAGGGTTGCTCTCTTCTGGATGAGGCCCAGCCAGGAGAAAGATTCGTTTTCCTTAGTTTTAACCTGAGATTGCGAGAAGCATCCCAGGTGTAATGTGTGCTCTGTAGGTGAGGTTTGCTAGGTTCTGGAGGGCGGAGAGCAGGGCCTGCATGGAGGCTCAGCAGATTTCTATTTGTTCACATGGGTATGAGGACATTTCACGTTGATAGACCCTGTCTGTTACCCCCTGAGCCCACCGGTCATTAAGGAGCTCTAGGAGATTAGCATAGTGTTGAACATTAGTGGGGAGCAGGCAGCCAGTGGCCCAGCCTTGCTCAAACGCACCAGCAGTCTTTTTGCTTTTTCTGCGTGTACCATCTTTGGATGTTCTTTTTACAAGAACTCCATGGGCAACCCCCATATTTTTTGACACCTTAGGTGCAACAGGCCTCGTCCATGGGGTCATAGGTAAAGCAAAGCGTGGAGGAGCCATATATCTCTGTGATTTAAAGAGAGATACCAAGATGGAGATAACATTTTGGCATCCCTTAAAGGGACAGGCTACTTGGCCTACAGCTTGGACCAGCTCCATTTGTCCAAGATTCCCAAACATGGAAGTGCAAGCAGTATGTTGGTAGTGGCACAGTTCTTCCCAGCTGGGCAAGGATTGAGACAACTGTAAACTAAGAGGCAACCTGGCAGAGGTGTCTGTAGTGCCTAGTGTCTGTGGTGACAGAGAAAGAACCTGACTCAGAAAAAGAAAGAGCTAAAGACAGGTTTGACCATTCAGACCTGTTTTTGAGGCTCCCCGACGAACCTGAGAGTGGTGGGTCCAGCTGCTGGACAGACCGTCTCCCTTGGGCCAGGGCCTTTTTGAGCCTGGATAGATGGTACCAACACTGATGTCCTAAGAGT